TATGTATGTATGTATGTATGTATGTATGTATGTATGTATGTATGTATGTATGTATATATGAGTGTGCTCGTGTGTGTATGTGTATGTGCACGCGAGCGACAGATGGATGAACTGATTCAAAAGCTAATAAATGCCCTGCACAGCCTCCAGTGGATCATCTGGTATTAATTTGTTTGCAGATAACAACATATAGCACAACAGAGACCAGATCCAGTCTATATACCAGAACCACCAAACGGCATTCTTTCGTTATATGGATTGTGCATTTCATCACTCCATCAACGCAGTTTAGGTAATATAGAACGCGGGGGCTTTCGTGGCCTAGAGGTTAAGGTGTTGGCCTCTCATTCAAAAGGTTCCGGGTTCGAATCTGAGTAGCGACCGAAAAATTTTGTTCTCTAAATTTGTCTCCTTTCACCTCATTTCCTGCTCTCCAGCAATGTTCTGTCGTCTGCTTTCGTCTCCACTTTCTGCCCCCACCCCCTCACCTCCTTTGCCCCTTCCTCTGGGCTCCTGATTCTTTCTGTAGCCTTTCTATAGCTACTCCTTCGCTTCTTCTTACTGCTGTCTTTCAGCCACACCCGTGATCTTCTGGTAGGAAAGATCTACACCTAGCCTTCTCGGACAAGGGAGAAAAATCTCGGAGGGCCCGTGTGCAAGTTGCGCAAGTTAAAGATCCCTTGGTGGTCTAAAATCGATAAGAGTAGGATTCGGCCGCCACCCTGGCAAAAATTCAAAATTTCCTACCTACTGAAAATATTAGGTGTGTCCCGCGCGCTCATATGACCTTATGCAGTTACGAGCGCCGTTAAACACTTTACAAACAACAACAACAACAAAATCTAGAACGAATGTCTTGACGAATCCGGGCTTGGTTGAAAACGTCATTAAAGCCGAAGTAGGAAAACACTTTGAGAATCTCACCTTTAAGTAGTCATTTCATGTTGAAAAATAAACACTATTCTCTAAGAATAGAAACCCCAAAAAAATAAATAAAAAGAATTTAAAACATAATGATAACAAAAAGAATTTTAAAGAACTTTTTTGAAAAATGTTATGATCATTACTGTTCG